CGTTTGGCCACTATCTTGCCTGGAGGTAAGGTAATGTGGCCGACGATGGAGCACGCCTGCTCATGAGCAACCTGTTCACTCGGGACTTGAAGACATCCAATTGCGATGTCCACCCCGACTGCTAAACGTGGCGTAACAGATTATGGCAAGTTCTTCTTACGTAGAGAAGTTTAATTTTCAGGTAGTGCCACGGATTGATGGTGATGATAATATTAAACAACAACCATTGGAAATAAAATCGCTATCTCTTATAACTCAGTCCTCAAATAAAGATTTTCCAGATACAGTTTGCTAGATAATGGAGACCGCCTCTCGGTACGACAGTAATGAGCGACCGAGTTCCTTTTAACTTTTATAACGATTGTAGACCTTTTCCCGTTGACTTAAAGGTGATAGCAACATTCTAAATAGTGTCCCCTGGAGAAATAAATGAACTTGGTTCTTGTATACTTTTCTTGGAAATGTATGTACCTAAGTCGTGTAAAAAGATTTGTATTGTTTCTGTAATTGTAATTAAAATAATTTTTATGTGGGAATCGTGTTTTCTTTGTTCTGAAACGTTTCAATTTCAACATGTCTTGAGGTAATTATTTGTTTTGTATTTTATTATTTTAAATGTCGACTGTGTTATCAAGAATAACATTTCAATTAAAATATGATTCTAACTAATTTAAAGTTAGTTTAACATGTCTAAATCTATTACAGAATTCGGTTTTTGGCTGAGCATAATATAATGGTGAACACAGAGTTCGACTGAACAAAGGTTACATTACATACCTCGTTAGGTATGTTGTATTTACGGTACTTATACTTGCTTTACTTTTTTGAGTAATTATTCTATCCCTTAGGTGGTAGTCACGAGTGTATCCTTCGTACGCCGAACTCAAATTTTTCACCATTTTTTTTTTTATTTTTACAGCCTGAACCTGTTACAGATAGCATAAACAACATTTTGTTATTGTTTGTATTAAAAATATATGTTTACCAGTGACGAAAAAGGGCTGATGAGGTGTAGACTATGTTACTCTTAGAAGTCTCGCTTCCAACTCGATCAACGATACACTTTGTTTCATTTGTGAAGCAAAATTGCGTAACGAGGAAACAATCATGTTTCAATTACGTACGTAAACAACAAGGAAGAACATACTGTATATTGAAAAAAATTATTTATTGTCTTTTTATTTTAACATTAAACTGTATAAAACCATTTATCATTTTCCTGGAAATCCTGTATCTTTTCTTCTTAACCTGTAATCTTTTCTAATAAATAAACATTCATTCATCTTTTAAAAAGAAAAACAATATTTTCTAAAACTTTTCCGGTAAACAATTTATCTATTTAATAAATACCCACCTTCAATTCTTACTAAATAATTAATGAATTCTTATGATTTAACTGAAGAATTTTACTGAATCTTGTTTCTTTTGTGTGAAATAAAAGAATGGAACCTTTTGTTTCTTTTTCTCTTTCAATCCCAGCTGTTTTATTCTCGTACTGATTGTTGGATTAAACTGATAAATGGATTTTCCGTTTAATGCCTTAATCACCTATTATCTCTTAGCAATTCTTTGAACAAAGATTCCCAGGTTTTATTCTTCGGATAAAACTTACTTCTAATGTAATTACGGCAGATTTAAAAACGTTCAGATTTCGCTTTGTCCTTGGGTAAGGAATTATCTTGGACTTTGTGACTTTTGAGAGTAATTTTACTTTCATCGACGTTTAATTGCTAATGGCTATACCATGAAATAACAAAGAGAAATTGATACATTACCATTGTTTAAATATTCGAGTCAATCCTGCTGAGTATAACAGGCACATAATAATATTTTTAGCGGCGGACCAAAAAAAAAAACAATTTAAGAACATCTTATATAACAAAGCTGTTACCCGCAACTTCGTCAGCTTAAAATATTATTAATTTTTGGACAAAACTATCTTTTGTTTCAATTTTCCAAAATAAAAGTAGCCTGTTACTCCTTAGTACATCAGCGAATTGCCAATAAAAGTCCCGTCAAAATCAGTCCAGCCATTCCATAGATTAGCCAGTGCAAACAGACAGACAGACAAAAATTAGAAAAATGAATTATTTTGATATGTGTATCGCATTATTTTACATGTAATTACATTATACATGTACATACAAACGGACACTCCAAATTTATTTATGTAGTAGTGTATACATAATATGTAGATATGCAACTAATTAAAATATTCTGTATTTATTTCTAAACTTAGTATTCAAAAAATACTTACGTTTCTTATCAAAACCGCTAAGATATTATAACGAAACATTTTTGATTCAAGACCGCAAACGTACTGTGTCTACTGCATATTTACATTCAAGTGCTCCGGAATATAGCAATCGGCAAAAAGAGCTCATAGTCTATTCAGTATTCTGAATACATTATGTTATCTCACGAACTTGAACAGATTTACAAATTAACACCACGTTCCGGAGTGTGTTGAGAGGTACAGATTAAATGGCGACCCGTATCTCTTTATATTTTAGCAAGATGTGAATGTTTTAGCAACGTTTTCGTTTATTTTGTATCAACGGCTTTATTTGAGAGAGTTTAGGGACAAATGCTCTCTTGTTCTCTTTGTACTTTATATTGTGAATGACAAAGTTTTTAGAGATGGATGGGTAGGGTTTTAATGAAGTTTTTGTTATGTAGATATCTGAGTGTTGATAAGACTTAATTTTATATTCGTTGTGAAAATACATTATTGTGAACCTACGTTTGACGTTTTATTTAAATTAAGTGAAATTATAATGTTTCAGTGTTATTTTTTGTCGAAGTCAAATGTACGACAAAACAACAATTGGGATGATGACAGGGTATGAAAATTAAAAATCTAATTAGTCCGTAAGTTAGGTAATTAAATAATATTAGATTCGTATTTTTTATTTTGTCGTATAATAAAACAATATTTAGATAAAAAGGAATCAAAGTTTAAGAGTGGGGGCTAAAACGTCATTTCTACGTCTAAAATGTATATAGAAGTGACGTCACGCGACATTTCAAATCAATATCGTCGAAAGTATTCGTTTCAGTAAGAAAATATAAAAATACGTTTCAAATGATTTAAAATAATCTACCAGACGGACATTAAAATAAAGATTAAATTAAAATAAAGACGGAGATTAGACATCTGTTACGTTCTATAGTTCAAAATTTAGAAATAATTATTTCCAACTAATGTATATTATTTGTTGTTTGTATAAATTTAAGTATTCCGCTACCAACCATTATTGGTTAATACCATACCACCATCAAATATTATTGGTTGAACATTATTGCATCCACATCCTTCAATGTTTTGATAACCTAATTTTGAAACGTGCCCTGTTCAAACTTCACTAAACATGGTTCAGAATGAAAATTAGAGCAGCATATCCCATTTGATTGGTAGGCGAATGTTTGGTAAACTGAATCCCACAGGAGCCGAGCCTTTAGCAATCAATAGCTTTGATAACCAATCAAGGCCGTGATACGTGAAAATGCACTCCATTTTCCCGCCAACGCGCCTAAACAACATGGCTGCTGTTGTTTTTTGAAATTGGAACGCTTTACAACAAATTGAGTGGTGGAACAGAGCTAAAATAAAATGCGTTGGAGATTTATTTTTCGTGTAACGTTGCATTTTTTTTTTGTGTAGAAACAATTTGTTTGTAATTTTATACTTGTTGTAGGTGTTAATTTTCACAAAAGACAGAACTACATAATATAACGTCACGCCTTTATCCCCGAGGTGCACATTATGTCACTGTACAATGTAACACCCACTTTTCACTATTTATGTTATGAGTCCCATGTAATAGGGGGTGAGCCTATTGCACAATTCCAGACTCCGTGCTATTACTGAGAATTTTCTAAAACCTCAGTAATACTTTGCCCGACCCGGGAATCGAACCCGAGACCCCTTGCCCGGCAGTCGCACTTGCGACCACTCTGTCTGTCCAAAAGATAGAACTGTACCCTGATTTTTTAATCTGTATTGCTGTTATACTACTAATAATTTATGACATATTTGATTGTGACTTCTTAGGATATTTGTGACATTAAATGAGCATAAAACATACACAAACGAAACTTAATTTAATACAAGACAACATAGCGGTAATACAAACAGAAAACTATACAAAGACAACAGAAAATACGCAATTGAAAAATTAACAACTCCACTTCATTATGAACATTGCGAGAGTGCAATTAACAAACAATACAAAGGAACAATAAAATGGAACGAGTCAATCCATTCTCGTCCCTCCTTCACAATAAAATGAACTTTTCCAATATTCAGAGCGGTTTTTAACAATTAAAATATAATTGGGTCCGTAATCAAGGCTTTGGCGACATTCATTCAAAATAAATAATTAATATTAATTATAAATTAGTCTTAGTCTAGTACTATAACTGTACTTTTGTGGTTGGTATTACAGTATACTTTAATTAAATTCGTTGTGGCCCGGAGGTTAAAACCGAAATCTACCAACGATAAGTACCAATTTGACTTTTTCCAAGTTATATGTAGTTTCTAAGATTATTAATTAGAAATCACTAGGAAACGGTGAAAGAAAGCATTGTGAGAACTTCAAACTTATAATTTCTAATTATAAGTTTGAAATCGCCAATCCGCATTGAGCAAGCGTGGTGATTAATGCTCCTTTACCTTAAACCTTTTTCGTATGACAAGAGGCTTTGCTCAGCAGTGGGCACTTATAAGTTGTTGAAGATCACTTTATATAACTTGAGACTAGCTAGGTAGCGGGTATTACATTGAAAGTTAACTTCTGCGGACATTTAAACAACGTGACATTCAACTTTATTATTAGGTAGCCTGTGTCTTTTGCCTGGTACTTAATTACCCTTCGTTATATAACTACAGTTGATGTTAATAGTTTTTAACCAACTACATCTGACTCCTAATTTCCTTCAACAAATTTTATGGTTACCTTTTAACTATAGCTACAAGAAATAGCAGTGCCACTTACCGGAGCGCTTAGTGTGGTGGCCGTAGAGCCTGTTGAGGTCCAGGGCGAGGACAGTATGTGGCAGCGCGCAGCTGACTGCTGCCAGCGCCGCCACGCACGCCGCTACACGGCACGAAGACATTTCTGCAACAAGAAAATGTAGACAGTTTAATAAAAATGTAATTAAACCTTTATTTCATGGAGAGGCAACAGAGGACATATTAACTGTAGCACCTATTATATCACCCGAAATTATAAAGAAGTTTTTTTATTTACACAGTTCATCGTAGAACTATGATCTTAATCTATTTAAAGGTCATTTGCCATAATCTTCACGGATTATCGCAATCGAGCCATTCTCTCGCCCTGGTGTCAGACTCTTTCAGACTAAAAACCACCCCAATCCTACTCCTGCCCTTCAAGCCGGAGCTCTGGCAACGCGGCCCCGTATCGGCATCAGCCCTATTGGGCCCCATCCGTGGTGAATCGCAATGGAGCTTATGATATGATGCTAATATGAACCTCTCGTTCTTCGTCCAATAGAGAATTAGCTAGCGTCACCCGATTGGACATTCAATATTTGACAACTGCTGTGATTGGACCATAAATCTCTTCCTACATTTGTGGTATCTGGTTACCTTAAATACGGTAGTTCCTATTCAAAAGGTTCTAGTTTATAACAGAGCGCTGGTTTCTGTACTTTGTTAAATGTGTTGTTAGCTATTACGTCACCTGTAGGAAGACAAAGAGTAGTTGGTGAGCTTTACAATGAAATATACTTCGACAAAATAACTCCGCATTTAAATTAAATTCATACCAAAGTTTCTCAAAACATAATTTAAGTGTTAACCTCAAACTAAAGTTTAATTCTTGTATAAGTTTACAAGAATTAGACCTTACTGCTTAACTCATTTACCCAGAGTACAAAGTTGAAGCCTTTCCACCTCAAAACTTGGTTGTAACCGGTACCTTACCAAACAAAACTTGGCCCAAGTTACTTGGCTTTACAAACTCAGTGAAGATACTAAACTTTCCAACATTTAAGATAGTTAGTTAATTAATAACAATGTTCCAATCATGTTAGGATTAGTGAACAAAGATGTACAGAATGTTCTCGTAAAACGTTCATCATGATTTGTAATTCTGGTCAGGGTGTGATTGAGAGTGGTGGCTAAATAAGGGTATCTATGTAATGTTCAGTAATGTCAGTAGACTATCTGGTAACTTGATCTGTTCAAACTGGTTGATACGTCATAATTTCGGTTTACGGTTTAAGATATTTATTTCTCAAAAACAATTTACATTGACTTTACTGAGAACTACAAAATATATATAAGTAGGTACAGCATGCGAACCAGTGCCTGAAACAATATACCGGTATTTATGAACAACCAAACTATTATATTACATACTTAAAACATACACAATAGAGTTGCTTTGAATAATCTTAGAATTATGTTTTTACTAATAGGAATTCACAATAGCAATGGTCTTATTACGTATCGAAGATTTGAAACACATTCTTTGCTAACACAGATGTACAATAATAATACTGTTATGAACAACTATTAATACTGTGCCACACTTGGGCGTACTGAACAATTATAGTCATAACATTCAAAAAATCAAAGCGTCAATGTAGTATACTTACTACGTTTATATTACTATTTTGCGTTAACGCTACTCGTGCCTTTCGAACCGGAGCCCCGGTAACCCGTTAAGTCTGGTTCTCTATTTTCTCTTCATACATGCATACTGGTTTTCTGCAAATTATTGTTATACGGTCAAAGGTCAAAAGTCCACTGCCACCGTAAGACTACTATCGGTTGCGCTGCAGCGCTTATTTTTATCCGTGTGCGTACGCGTGCGTGTGTTCATGCGTACGCATGCGTTTTTATGCATATTAATATGAAATTACTTACACATTGCCGTGTGAACATCACTGACGGTGGCAGTGGATTTTTGACCTTTGTCTGTACGTGTGTTGTTGGTACATATATGAGGTACCTGATTTTGAACCATATTCTAATAATATCAGCATAAATGTTCACAAATAACACCAATGCCAAGGCATACAAAAATTGTTGAAATTTTCACCTCAGACAAAGGTTTGATTATAGTTGGTGTTGAATAACAATTTGTTTGTGCCTTAGCTTGTCTATTTTGATAAAATTCCTTTTGTTTCAGCATCATTATTCCAATTTAATGTTTTACTTCGAAGAATTCATAAGTAATTAGTATTTAATTTAACTTTTCTTGTCTTGGCATCTGACATTTGTTGATTGACGGCGGTCTTAGTTATAATATCTTTTATATGAAATATTTCTTATGCTATAATTTAATATAAGATAAAAGATAAAGAATGTTTCCTTTGAACGTGGTTGCCAATATATTGTAACTTTGTTCACGTGCCTGTCAATATCAGACGAGCTTCGAGCATTTTAATATCGCTAAACATGAGAAAATATTTCTTTGCATCATTATATAGAGTTTACGGACAACAAAATCATTGAAAATTAAAAAAGAAAGAAAAACAAAAATAAAACAGAAGTAGAAAACAATTTAAGATATAAATCGACCATGAAGTTATCATGTGACTTTTGCATTAAGGGCCTGTTACACAATATCTGGATAGCCGCTATCTACCAGATAAAATAGAATTAAGAACGTAATTTGTTTGAACTATCTGTTACATAAGATTATCAGGTACTTATATAGAGGTGGTGAGACCGGCGCTTAATGTTTAAATATGTTTATCTGTTAGTACACCTAATATATTGTTCAAATCATAACCTTTTTATAAATTGAATTTAGACAGTTAAAAACAAAAGTACAGCTAACAAATGTACATACATGTAAATATATAACATTAATTTTATACTTGTGTCTAACATTTGCAACTCATTATACGGTTTGTTTCTTCTCAGGGTTTCAGAAGCAAGCTTATTTAAATACAGCTAATTAGGGATCACGTTACAGCTGCTTACAGTTATTTTTCTCCTATCTTGAGTTGTATAATCGTTCCTGCTTTTAGGATGTAACATTTTAACATAACAACACGCCTTTTATCCGCGAGGGGGTAGGCAGAGGTGCACATTATACTAATGTACAATGTAACACCTACTTTTCAATATTTATGTTATGAGTCCGATATACTGAGTTTTATTTTTTAAATTAGTAAATCTTTGCCCGAGCCGAGAATCTCGGCAAACAAGGTAGTGCATATGTTAAACAAAGTCACAGAGATAGTATCACAGAGAATTCAAATTAAATCCTTTTTACACAGAATTGTAAAAGCTGTGCAACAGACACTAAAATTTCCATTAGGTAGCAGCCTCTTTGTTAAAAAAAAGAAAAAAGAAAAAGTGTTGCCCTACTTTAAAATTGTAACAAAAAAGCAAAAAGGCGTTTATCCATAAATCTGGGAACTCGTTAATTAAAGTAGCTTTACAAAGTAATTATAAGTTGGTAGAACATTGAGATGCTGTAGCTGATCTCTTGAGACTTAGATCATGGGAAGTTTAAAGTACACTCGAGTCGTTGCTCGTGTTTTGTTTATGTTCAAACTTGTTTTTGTTGTGTTTTGTTGCAAATGTTTATGAGTTGTTTTGTTTCAAGTGCATTGTATTATCTGTATAAAAGAAACATGTTTAATGCATTCGTTGGAAGCAGTTAGAACAGTGCTTTATTTAGTTAGTACGTTAGTTTTTGTAAAACGTTGTGTATGGAAAATCATTGCCCGCGACTGTGTCGTAGAATATGACTTTTAGGACATAACTATCTTTTGTTTCAATTTCCCAAAATAAAAGTAGCCTAGAGTAATAAATATATACCTAAGTAGAAAATAAGTGTATCTAATATATGTACATCGATTCGGTAGAATGTATGAGACATTAATTAAGATAAAACACCGATTGTAACTACATTCTGACCAATAAATTTTTCTTTCTTTCTTAGTCGTCAGCTACCTGCCAATAATTCGCCTTTTTATTTTTATTAGATTAATTCGCCTTTTACTTTCTGAAATACTTATAAACGATGAATAGAGCGCATTAGCAAGTACATACATTCGTTTACATATTTACTTTTTCCACTTTTAGAAGAGTTTCAAACATAAAAGTAGATTTCCTACCGATAACTTCTCAATTTTACCAACAAATCCTGAAACTACGTAGAACCTATTCTATGCAATTTGCGGGAACGTAGACAGAAACCTTCTCACTTCAGCGTCAAGGCAATCTTGCAAAGTTCCTCGCTGAAATTCAGGCGTGACGTAGTTCTGAATCCAATTTCCAGTTAGACGGGAACTAATGCACTGGTGCGGTGTATGTACTTGATTTCGATCGAGCACTGACGCATGGCTTAGTCAGTAGCTATTTGTGAAGATTTCTTTTAGAGGTATAGTTAGATTTATTTGTCGATTTTGTCGTTTCCTGTGCAACTACTGAGTGAGTATCTTACTTGTTCCTTTCTGTACAAATCTATAGTTCGGCACGAGCAAATAGTTTCACTAACGGTTTCATTAACAGACTGTCATTTTTGGTTTTAACTATTTAGTTTGGTTTTCTTAAGTGTCCTATTGTTTATTCAAGTCAAGTTCAAGTCGCAAGCCTTTCGGTCTTCTATTGGATACATATCGGTGAGTGTGCGTGGGAATTGCACAACCTTATTCCCCCTAATCTGTATCACCATCGTACTACCAGACGAACGGCAGGGCGCCACCCTTATATGGTGGACATTCTACCCATTCGCACGAAGCGTTTTACGTCAAGCTTCCTTGTGTGAACAGCTAATCAAAGGAACTCCTTGCCGGAATCTGTGTTTCCCGACAAATATAGCTTGGGAGTTTTCAAGTCCAGAGTGAACAGATTGCTCATAGGTAGGCGTGCTCCATCTTCGGACACATCATCACTTACCACCAGGCGAGATGTTTTGCCATTAGGGCTTGTTAAATTACGATGTGAATTGCTGCGATGCGATTTCGTTTTTCAAGGGAGACGCCTTGACGCACGAAATCGCATCGCTGCAATTCGCATTGTGAATTCACATCGCATCGCATTGCAGTTTTGTGTACGAGCACTTAAGTCTGCGTTTGAGCTGACAATCTCAAAAGAAATAAGATAGTTTAGTACCCATTTTGCAAA